GTAATAAAGTGGACTTCATAATTTTGCAAAAGCTGTGCTACACTAAAAAAACTAAAGGTAAGGTTTTGATTAGGTTAGCCGTTTAAGTCTGCATTTTCTGACCAAAGTGCTTCCTCAGTTTTCAAAATGAAAAAATACTGTGTTAATATAATGATATTCATATTACTACTAATGGATGTATTTCTACCTTACAAATATTATAAAAATTAAAATTATCATTCATGAGTTTTCCCACAGGCAGCCAAGAGTCACTGAAAAGTTGAGCTGACCAAATGTCAAGTTAAAACCATTTTCATTCCATTATACCAAGGACATACTGAAAACCACTAGCTTTCTCTTTAACAATACAATGAAACTCCCACTTTTGAAGTAAATAATAGTAAGATTTAAATGAGCTCACATCTGCATTATTAGCCTTAAGTGTTAAAAGCATAACACCTACATACAGATTCCTCCAGAAGAGGGGCAAGGAGTACCATCCAATACTGCAAGAACATTCCTTATGCTGTGCTGCAGCAAGGAAGCACTTTTAAAGTTTACTGTAACATCAGGCAGGCTCTGGCACTTAAAACCCTGACTGCTTATTAGCACAATCTCCTTAAATGTCACCATTGCTATGAAATGACTGTAATTGCTATGAAATCACTTACTATGCAAAGATGGTTCCATTGTAGCCATTCATACAAGACTCAACAATGTTTTTAGCCACACTTGAGAACACAGACTCCTGGGGACAAGGAAAAGAGAAAGCACTTGGCACTACCTGTTTAAGTATCTGTTATATCAGTGTTTCCTATGCCATAACTTTATAGTATATAATAGATGCATTCCTTAACGTTAGACATGTACCATAACCCCTGGAATTCTCACAGCAAAATGATACATGCCAAGTCTTTGTGAGATAAATCGCTCTCTCTGAAAAAATTGTATTTCTTGATAAACTCAAAGAGAAATAATAAAATTCAGCATCATAGTAACAGCTTCAAAATACATAATAATAATAATAATAATAATAATAATAATAATAATAACAATTTTGATCCAGTGGTCTTGATTATGCTATGCAGTTTTTACTATCAGTAGGCCAGGTGCCTGTGACACTTATAAAATCTAGCTTTCAACATTTGCCACTGTGGAATGGCACATTCAATAGACCTGCACAATTTAGTCTCATCTATCTTCACATTTTTCTCTTAGTTCTGAAAGAAGAGCCTAGAGCAGGTGAAGTTTTTGGGAGGTTTTGTTTTGTTTGTTTTTTTAACAGAATTTAAATGGGATTGGGAGTCCTAGAAGAATTAAAATAATGTTCAGAATGTCAATCATCCTAGAAATTAAATTGTGGGATTTTCTTTCCAGTATTACTTGTCCCAGGTGATCAATGCATCCATTTAAATACTACTTTTAAAAGGCAAAAGTAGTAGAAGGAGATACTGTAAACAGAATATAAACTCTGAAGTTCCTTAAATACAAATGTGCAGGGCCAGGAGTTGAATTTGATGATCCTTGTGAGTCCCTTCCAATTCAGCATATTTTGTGATATCACATCTTAATATCAGCTACTGACTGCCAGTTATTTTTATACATTTGTCTCTATAGGCAGATTTCTTTTCTCTCTGTGGTGTTACCATAATGTTTACAAACAAAACCTCCAATTTTAATTCAAACTCTAATTAAAGAAAAAAACAGCTAAAAAAATCACATCAAAACTGTTAGAGAGCAGAATTTAATGCAGTATTGTATACTATAACAACGTGTTTCCAATCTGACCACTGCAAAAAATTAGACCTAATGCACTACATCTTTAGAAAGGCTTAGCATAGTAGTTGCCAAAACTTGGGTGAAAACAGCAGTAATTATGAGATTCTGGAAATTATTACCTGTGTTGTTTCCATATTTGCAACATAATCAAAAGTGAAGATCTTTGGCTCAGGCTTTGAGTGCAGGCGGATGGTATTTGATGAAAGGACCGATAAACATAGGCCATGATCTCCATCAGTTAATACGGTTCTGTCTGAAGGGGGACGCACCCTTACAAAAACTTTGATAGCATCACCTTCAACACTAAATAAATGTTTATGCATTAGATTACTTCCAAATAGATCAGATGTCTGATAAAATCAAATTGAAACAATCAGATGAAGCATATGAAGCCTTACAAAGGTCCGTCCGAAAATCATTCTACTTGTAGACAAAAACAATAGAAGTAGAAATGTGGCAGATATAAAGAACAACAAACATGCAGTTACATGCAATTTATTGCTGTGGCAGTTAGCTTTGCCTCTAAAAGAACACATTGCACAGTGAACTTGAGATGCCCTTCTTACTCCTGGAATCTTTAATGAATCAATGGATAAGATAATGCTATGGTCCAGCTAAAAAGTTGTTAGCATTTTTCTTTGGTGCTTACAAGACGGGGAAAAAGAATAAATTCTTGATCAATGAATCAAATAAAGCATAGCAAGTTCTGCATCTAAAATATCCCTAACCAATTTCATCACATTTATCAGCTTTAATAAGTAACTGTGCATGACTTTACATTAAGGCTCTGAAGAGTTCTGCCGTAAATACCAATACACCCATAAAATATTAAAGAATTAAATTCTTACATAAAGTGGTAGCAAACTTGGATTTACTTTACTTCATTATGTTCCAAAAGTTTTAGCAGGAGGGTGTTGTAACTGCTATTATTACTTTTGGTAACAAGAGAGAAGAAAAGTTTTAAAAGTGGGGAAGGGTCTTCATGAACGAAATGTGCAGTTGGGTAGTGACAGAGGAAAGGGTTCCAAACATAAGCAGCAGCTGAGAAAGGGATGTTATACTGGATTTAGACACACCAAATTAATTTGCCAAATGTGCTTTCTTTGTATAACATTATTCTGAGTTATGGCACAGTTTACACTTGGAGGAGGGCTTCTTGGCTTTTGTTTTAGTTTAGGCTTCCTCAGAGGACCGAAGTTCCTAGTGGGATATTTCTTCATATAAACTCTAGAGCTCAGCTGCAGAATTAGTGGAGAAATGAAAATTTATTGCATGACAGCATTACAAGAGGAATCCAACGTGTCAGTGTAACAGTTTTATTATGAGTACGTTATTTTTAAAGCCTGTAAGGATATTGGGAGAGAAAGACAGCAATCTTAGGCAAGTAAAGATTGAAATAAAAATCTTTAAATTATCTCACAAAGTTATGCTAGGCTTTATTTGCACTTTCTGTGCAATGTGATTAAAAATATATGGGAACTGGCCAATATTGTTTTACCCAGATGAGTTCAATGAAGATATTGAAGAGTCACGCAGATCTCCTATAAAAGAAAAGAGAGACACACAAAAATTAAAATAAAATTACTGCTCAAAACTCCTCACTTAAATAGAAAATACTGTAAGCAGGACAGAGGGAAATAAATTGAGAGCCTTATAAATACCTGTTTTATGCATGAACAGAACTGCATTAAAATATTTGGTAATTACCTTCCTTTGGCAGAAAGATTTCAGTTTTTTACAGAGGAAGAGAAAGCTCCAGTCCTTTAATGTGAACATTAGCAATGTGCCATTTGTGAATTTGGCAAAAAGGAGGCTCTGGGAGACCACTCTACAACTGCCTGGAAGGAGGCTGGGGTCACGCTCTTCTCCCACGTGACAGGACAAGAGGACACAGCCTCAAGCTTTGCCAGAGGAGGTTCAGACAGGACATCAGGAGGAATGTCTTCACTGAAAGGCTTATTAGATATTGGAATGGGCTGCCCAGGGAGGTACTGGAGTCGCCATGCCTGGAGGTGTTTGGAATTGCACTCAGTGCCATGGCCTGGTTGACAAGGTGTTGGTCAGTCATAGGTTGGATTCCATGATCTCAGAGGTCTTTTCCAACCTCACCGATTGTGTGAGTGAGGCTCATTTTGCACAGCTTCAGATTTCAAGGTGACAGCACATATTACCCCATAGGTAGATAAAGTGACTTATTTTTTACTTAATCTGACATCAAAGTACATAATATAGCCAAAACATTAACTAACAAAACTAACAAAATTGTATTTAGAAAATAAGAAAAATAACAATGAAAGACAATGCCTCAAAATATTCCAATAATAAAGTATTTACAAAATCCTTAAAAGCACACAGGTTTTTTTGTAGGAGGATCACCTTTAACCTTCTCTTTGACATTCATACTACCCAAATATCCTGCTGCTGCATGAGCTTTTTACGTGCTGCTTTGACTTACTCAACATCTGAGAAATATTTTCACTTCTAATTAAGTAATTTATTCTTCAATTGCACAAGTTTTCAAGGAAAGGAGTGCAGTTAAAAACTGAAGTCAGACCGATAGGTACTTGCACAGCCCTGGGACTAGCCTAAAATTGTGTAAACGGAGGTTTGGGCCGGATATTAGAAAAACTCTCTTCACTCAGAGGGTGGCTGGGCACTGGAACAGGCTCCGCAGGGAAGTGGTCACAGCACCGAGCCTGACAGAGCTCCAGAAGTGTTTGGACAATGCTCTCGGGCGCACGGTGTGATTGTCGGGGGTGGTGCTGTGCACGGCCAGGAGCTGGACTCGGTGATCCCTGTGGGTCCCTTCGGACTCAGCTTATTCTGTAGTTCTAGGAAAGGGCCGGCTCCCAGGTACCCCGACACCACCGGGGCAGCGCTCTGAACGCCCCGGAGCACCGAGGGGCACCGAGCCCCTCCGCACGGCTGCGCCGGGCCCCATGGTGATGCCCCGCCAGGGCACGGGACAGCGCGGCTCTCCCGGGCAGAGCCGTCCCCCGGTGCCCCCGCCTCCTCCCTGGACCGAGGGCACATCCCTAGGCCCCTTCCCAGCCGCTCCCTCACCTCTCACGCCGGGAGCCATGGCCGCTGGGACCCCGGCAGCTCCCGCCCGCCGCTCCAAAATGGCGGCGCCTTCGAATTTGGCGCTCAGCGGCGCGGCCCCGCCCCGCGCCCGAGCCCGGCGCGCGCGCCGCCATGTCGCCCGGCGCGCGGCTGCGCGGCCATTGGCCGCCAGCCCCGGCACGGGGGGCGCGCGGCCCGCCCGGGAGCGCGCGCGGCGGCGGCGGCCATGAGCAAGAGGAGCCAGGTGTCGTACGTGCGGCCCGCCGAGCCCGCCTTCCTCAGCCGCTTCAAGCGGCGGGTCGGGTACCGGGAGGGCCCCACGGTGGACACCAAGGTAACGCCCGCGGCTGGGAGCGGGCAGCCCCCGCTTCCTGGCACTTCCCGGCGCTTCCCAAAGCTTGATGCCCGCTCCTCCCCGCTCCCTGCCTCTCGCGGGGGGGAAGGAGCAGCATTCCAGGGTTTTGTAACTCAAATCGTACGTGTAACTTGGTTTTGCTTGTGTGTTGGCGGGTCAGAACAACTGCAAGGCTGCAGTGGCGGCCGTGCGGAGCCCCGCTCCCGCCTCTCCGTGCCCGAGGCCTGTGCGGGCACGGAGGGAGCAGCGCTGATGTCCGAGCTTGAACCGGGCCTTAAAGAGCCCAGGGCAGTGCAGGAGGAGGCCGGTGTGGGGAAAAAATACTCTAAAAGTACTGTAAAAAAAATGATCGTAAAGGAGTTAAGATGGGTTCGAGCTAAAAGAGGGGAAATTTAGGTTCTGTATATGGAAAAAAGTTCTTAACTGTGAGGGTGGTGAGACAGGTTGCCTAGAGTTCATTGTGGGTGCCCCATCCCTGGAACTGTTCGGGCCAGGTTGGATAGCACTCTGAGCAGCCTGGCATAGTGGGAGGTGCCTTGTCCGCGGCCAGAGGGCTGGAACTGGATGATCTTTAAGGTCTCTCCCAACCTAAAACATCTTGCTGTAGGTCCGCGGTCATGAACTGTGTTGTGATGGCTGGAAAGGCAGGGCAGGGGCGGTAGGGTCTGAGCCAGCTTGTTGAAAGGCAGCTTTTCCTAAGGCACATGTTTTTTTTCTGCTTCCAGTGTGATTTAACATGTATTTCCTTCTAAATAGTATTTTACAGGGTACCTTAAGAAATGAACTTATCGTTTTATACACACATATATATATATATACTTATATATATACACATATTCAGTAGATTACACTAATACTGTCTATACTTAAAATATGAAGTTTTCAGGTTCTCTGATATTGCCAAACTTAAGGTTGCTGCACTGAGGTTTCCATGCCAGAAGGTGTATTTAAAAAAAATAAAAAATTACCCCAATTGATTCTTCTGTCCCAGTGCACAAGTCAGAGAGAGTAGAAACAGGAGCATTTTCTTCCTTGTGTCAGTGCTGCTTACAGTGATTTGTTTAGCCGGGTTTAAGAACCCAGCCACCATGGACCCACATTTCCCTTTGTGCTGCTTTGAGTACAGCATGGAGGGTTCAAATTTGGACCTTAAGTTGTACAGCAGATTGTGCTGCACAGTCAAGATAGCGAAGAAAAAGAATTAATTTCTTGCTTTCCAAGTTCCTTCTGGTCTCTAATTGAAGAAGCCCGTACTCCCATGCTAATGTTTTCAGTAGGAAGCTGTGTCTGAGTGATAGAGTTGGAATGTCCTTTGGACAACGTGGTGGGAGGGCCTGGCACTGGCAGCTATGCCAAGTCTCCTCAATAACCTTTCTGCAAAAGTGAAACCAAGGAGTACTGACCCACAACTGGAGTGATGATCAGAATGGCTTTTATTTCTCCCTTGTCCAGAGAGAGCAGCTTCCACTTGCTGATGATGACAGTGACAATGGCAGTGACAAGGAAGATGAGCAGCCTCAAGTGGTGACACTGAAAAAAGGGGACTTGACTGCAGAAGAAGCAATGAAAATTAAACAGCAAATCAAAGAGGCCTTAAAGTCAAAAGAATCAGGTGAATTTCAACTACTAATTTCTTGCTTTTTGTAGTCAAAGAGATAACCCACAAAAGCGAGTCTGATACTTGCTCAGTTTTCTACTGTTTAATACTACCTTTGATTAGTTCTGAATTTTTCACCTAAATAATTTGTACTTCTGGTTCCTAATCTCAAGTCATTAAGTACATATTCAGGCTGTCTGGCTTTTTATAATGATGTGGTTCTGTGCTTCTTGATTATGCACCATTCTCCCTCTAAATAATCCCTTAAATTAATTTTTTTTGTATTTTTGTAAATTAATTTTTTGTTGTATTTTTCCGGTGAACAGTCTTTTGACATCACCTGTGATAATTTTTTAACTCATTGACTAGTTCAACCAAATTTGACAGTGGAGTGGATGACTAAAAGCTAATTGTATGAGTGCGTGAAGGAGAGTGTCAGGGCAGAGGGATTCAGGTCTGTGCTTTGGTGGAAAGAATCGCAGATGCGTGGCTTGGGAACACGTTTGCTTGCCTGACTGGTCCATGTTATTACTTGTTTAAAATCAACCCCAGTATGTGTTGTGACTTGCAAATATATTAAGCAAGATAGACAGATGATACAATAGTGCCAAAAACCATCAAGGTCCAGAAAAAATTGTTTCTCTGTGTCTTGGTTTAGGGCAAATTTGGGAGAAAACCTCCAAAAAGGGCCCCCCCCAGAAAGCAAACTCCCCCCAACCAGTTTGGGAAAAATTTCTGTGGAGAGAAGTGGAAAGAACCTGTTTATTTAACAGGCAAAGCACTCCCCAGCACAAAAAATGAACAATACCAGATGACAAAACTCATTTGCTGCTCTGAAGAGATGACAAATTCAGAAGGTGTCTCCTGGGAGCGGTCACTCTGTTATCAGTCCCTCCGGCACTGGGAAAGTCTGCTGCCCAGAGAAGGCCCGATGGCCACAAAGTGAGAGCTCTTAGTGCTCCCCAGGTCCCCAGTCTGGAGCAGGTTCAAACAGTTCTAAGAAAAGGGAAAGAAAAGACAGTTCAGTGAAAACTTCCCTGCCTCAGCTAGCTAAACTAAACTAAAAAGTAAAGGAGGGATCTGTTCTGCTCTGTCCATGCCAGAACAATCCAGTGCAGCATGTGGAGGAGGAATGCAGTTTCTGATAACAAACTCCATTCTTCTTCTCTCTGCTTTTGCTTTCAGGACCAGTCTTGATGGCACAGAATATAATATCCAGCATAAGCAGAGCAGATGACTGGGGATACAAACCTCATAAATTCACCCTAGGACACTGCCACAAAGAATTATACAGAATGCAAAGATGGAAGTGGTGTGGGAGGGGCTGCTGCAGTTTCACAGTAAAGATGAGAAACTATAGCTGATGGATACAGTTATGTTAAGAATTTCTCTCAGTATTCATCATTCAACTGTGATTGACATTAAGTGCTTTGAGCGTCCAGAAGCTTCAGTCATCACACAGGGTGTGATGAAATGTAGCTTTATCTTTTGCTGACAGAAGACTTGACAAATTGAATGTAGCTTCTGTTGTCTCTAGTGGAAATGTCTTGACAACGAAGAATATAGGAACTGGAACCCCACAAGTATAAAATAGAAAGATGAATCATAGAAACTGGACATCTTCTGTGGTTAGGTATTATGGCTATTTACAAAAGCTGCCAATTGAATTTAGGGTAACTGTGAGGCCTAGCACATAGCTGTCAATCGGACATCCTTGGCTTCTCTTTAGTCTGCCATTTGGATTTGAAAATTCAGGTTCATGCTAATCTCTTTGTAGATGTATGTGTTAAAATTCAAATGGTATAAATTGAGAAGTCGGTAACAGAAGTGGGAGAAAATCTATTGAGAATCTTAATATTTTTTGAAATGCAGACTGATGAGAAATCTTAATTTTTAACAATGTAGGTTAGTTTGAAACTAAATAAACCACATCCTATTTTCTGCAGGTAGATATGTATTTGTTAGGTCTAAGCAGGTATTTGACCTGAACTCCTCTGAGAATATACGCTCAGCTTTGGTGTCGCAGTTTATAAAGTCATCACAAAATTTCTTTTCACCCTCCTAGTATTGGGAGAAGTTTCAACTTATTGGAAAGAAATATCATGGTTCTTTTTGAGCATTGGCTTCCTTTTCATATAAGCAACTTGAACTTTGAGTGATCACAGTAGGAGGAAAAATGATTTTGTAAAGCTGGGCAAAAAGAAGTAGTTGTCCATGAGAATCTATTGAGGTGGAGTCCATGCTGTGAAAAAAGTCCAAAAGAGCTACCAAGCTGAATACACAGTGTGAAATGGAAGTGTATTTGAATAGAGTGACTGAACTTACTTGGTGGAAAAAGACATTCCTAAGACATAATTGTATGTAGTGAGGATGGCAGTATTGAGTCCCTGTAGGACTTTGTCACCTCTGCTTATTACCCCTTCAGCCCTTCAGTAATAGCTTCCATTTGGAGGAAAAAATCCACAGAAGTAGGTAACGGGAATGTTGGGGACTGCTGCCCTCTGTTCTGCATTATTGTGTTACTATTCATTCATCTGCCTTTGCAGTTAATATGAGGTCTTGGTATTCTTTTCCTTTTTATGGCTTATGGGAATAAACAGGGTAAGCACTACTGTGTTTCTCTGCTATGGAGGGAACCCAGTGTGAAATTTCCAACAAAGGGAGGTGAGTGTGACTATGCTACAACTTGCTGAAGGCTGTTTTGCATTTTGGGCCATTTTTGCACTGTCAGTCTGACCTCTAGGTTTAAATTTTGATTTCTAATCTGAGGCAGGTATTTAGACACCTGTTTACTTCCAGTTTAATAAAGAGAGTTTTGAGTCTTTTAATTTTTTGGCTGTCAATTCTGAGAAAGGGAAGTATAAAGAGTATTTGGTGCTGCATGACTTGGTTGCATTTCATGTTGCTTTGATTTTAATCCCAGAGTTGAAAGTCAAATTAATTTAATAGCTACTAGACCTTATTATATAGTTGCAAATCAGATTGTTAGTGAAATTACATGAAGCTAAAAAGGTAATAGGAAAGTAAATTTCCCAACTGATAATCTTCCTTGCCAGCATGCATCAATGCTGAGGCACTTTGATAGAGCCTAAGAAATGTGCTACTATCTGTTGTGGATGCAAACAGGTTTTCAAAACTTGGGAAGTACTCAGTTTTGTGGTTCTGCCATCTTTTCACTTATATTATAGTGATTGTCCTTATTTGAAGGACCTTGTCATGAAGTTTAGGATTGTGATATTACTCCAGAATTTTCCTTATCTTATTTACATACTTCATCCTTTGTTTTCTTCTATAACCATTTTGACGTAGCTACAGCTTTTGTTGTTTTGGTTTTGTTTATTTTTAAGTTTAGATACCAGATGTTCCTATGACTTGAATTTTCTTTTATAGATGAGTAACATTTTTGCATTATTGTGGTAAAGCCAGCTGATTAATGTCCTAGCTGCACTTAATTGCTTCCTAAGGCAGAGCAAATCCTAGCTTTTCTGTTGGCTTTTGCAAGTAGAGTCACAGGGATCTTTTTTATTTAGGACCAAACCTTTCTTAGATGAGAAAACACCATTCTGTATTGAAATATTTTTTTCCATGGAGCAGAGACTCAGAGGCTTTTTTAAAAAAATTGTTTGTTTATCAGCAGTGATTTTGCTTAGTGTTTTATGCATCATTTTTTAAATTGTCACTGTTGGTTCAGAGACAAAGAAAAATGGTCTTATGAGAAGTTAAATTTGCACAAAAGAAAATACGTGAATTACTGCAAGATAATTTATCTCAGCATTCATTATAGTCTATGAAATAGCTTTTTTTTCCTACTGTTTTTCTACTTCTGTGGCCTCTGGGACACTGACATATGCAGATGACCGAATTTGACAAAGGTAGCCTTTCTTATTCAAAGCCTTATGATATTTTTCTTGTTTCAGTCTATATGCTGGGTTCTGGGGAAGGACAGTATGGAGAAGAGGCAAGGAGAATAGAGTCCTTGCTGTCTTGGCTATTGGAGTCCTTTCTGAATAAGCACAGACTGTTCTGATTTAAGCAGCTGATAGTATCAGATACATCTCACAGAGGTAATGCTGCTCTGTTAAATATGAAATATTTCACATATATGTGAAATAGCAGGAACCTAAATCAAAGCTAACTTTGCAGTTTTTAAGTAAGGAAAATTTTCCCAAGTGTTCTCATAAACAATTAAACTGACTATGGAGCAAGAGCGACCTACTTATCTTCAAACCACCAGTGTGCTGAATTCCTGGAATAAATGCTTCCAAAGGCATGGATGGCCAGAAAGCACTGGAAAGAGCATCTAAAATGGTTGACCTGAACTTCTAACTCTAGAAACCATTAAGAAATTTGCCAGGTTATTATAATTTTTTTCCTAACCTCCTATCTTTGAATAGATGTATATGGGTTCGACTGTTCCTCCTGTTGCTCCTGACAGTTTGGTGGCACTTGTTTCCTGTTGTTGCCTCAGTGACATACATGAACAGGAACTGCTGAAAAGTGGTGCTGCTAACTACACAAATTATTACTAAATAAAAAAGCATGTAAACTGAGAAGCAGTATTTCATTTTCAGGCTCTCATTTCTACTATTATTTTAAGATATACCTTGAAATTAAAAGAAAAGAAATTTCTGATTTTGTGGTTTCTTAAATTGATGTCACTTGTGAATTAAGTTTTCAGTTCAACTTCTGACTGTGCTCATGTTGGTCAACCAGTGGTGTGTGATCCAGGTAGAAAGCAGCAATGACTAAGAACAGTGGGAATTTGAACTGCTAGTGTAGTTTTTGACTTATTTTTGAGAAATGAATTTTATTATTTCTCCTGTAGTGCTTTTATTTATTTTACTTTGTGTGTTTCAGTGTGCTTACCACAAATCCCACTTTCCATACTTCGTAATACTAACAGAGTCTTTTACTGGGACCCTGTTTTAAAAACTACTAACACCACTGAGATTGTTTCTTTAGTTGTTTTTGGTTTTTTTTTTTTTTTTGTATTGCTTAGTACAAGTCAGTTTTTTGTAGCTCTTTGATGAAAACAAAAAAGAGAGCTGACACATAAGAACCTGGTGAAATTACAAAGGATAAAGTGAAGTCATTTTACCAGCTGAAAAAGACAATCTTAACACATCAACACAAATTCCTTGAACTGCCTCATCAAATTTTTTCAAAAAGTGTAGTCTGTCCTCACTCTCTCCACATGTATGCTAGGCCTACTGTGTTTCCTTATCTGCTTCATTCTTTGTCAAGCACTGCCAACACACACTGCTCTCTGAAGCTGGCCTGGGCTTCTTGCTGAAAGGAATGTCCTTGAGCATATAATGATTTTTTTACAGTATTTAACCAGGCCAAGAGCTAAAATAATTTCCTTTGATACAGAATGACCTGTGAATAGTATTGTAGCCCTGGAAGCCAGAGCTGAGCTAGTTGCCATTTTGGTGGTGTTTTTGAGCTTTGCTGTTTGTGCCCTTAGCTTATTACATATTTAAATTCATATTGCAAAGATACCTATCAGTTTCTTCATCTGGTTGGCAAAATGAAATTATTTTGTGCAGTTCACAATGTGGGTAGCAGGCCAGTTGTGAGTAAAATTAAAATTTCTGTGCTCTGTTTTTCCATGGATTACAACCATGTAGCTGTTCATCTCTTTTCTTTTATGGATGTGCTTTGAACTGTAGTTTTAGGGGTTAGGTTTTCAAATTTACCACTGTAAGAAAATCTAATAATCCATTTGTTAGAGTATCCAATGGGGGTATGATTTTTTTGCTCCTCATGCTTATCCAGTAGCTGGTTGCATCATTTCCACACCAGTAGTGGTACTGTATACAGCACATAGTTGTGTCTGCACATAAGGGAAGTTCTCTTCATAGATAGATTTTTTTTTCAGAATTTGGCTTAGATTGTGTCTCAGATCTTGTTTAAATTAAAAGATCTCTATTTCCAAATAAACATTGTAGTTATGCAACAATTAGTGAGGGAAATAATTTGCTATTAAACTTCTTAGTCCAAAAATGGAGGCCCAACTTCTGAGAAAAAGGATGCATAGTGCATTCTGATTCATTAGATGTTACATGCTTTCAGGAGTTCTATTTCCCCTCCCAGAATTTGCTACAGGCACTTCCTAAACATCTAAACAGCATCTAAACAATTAAGCTCTCTGTGCAGAGTTCGCAATGGATCCATTGAGAACTATGCTTTTCATAACTACAATTTATTATTGCTGCTAACTCTTTGTAACTGTAATGCTTTTCTAATGTGCCAAGAATTATGTATTTTCCCCCAGACCTGGTTAGTTATTTTCTACATAGTAGTATTTTCTCATAAACTAGTGTAGAATCATAGAATCAAGGAAATGTTTGGTTGGGGAAAGGCCTCTAGGATCCATGGAGCCCCACTTAGTAACTTTGCATTGCTTTGATGCCACTAAACCGTGTCCCCAAATGCCACATGTTCTTTGAACACTGCAAGGGATGCTGTTTCCACTACTTGCCTGGACAACTTGTTCCAGTGCCTGACCACTCTCACAGTGAAGAAATTTTTCTTGGTGTGCAATCTAAACTCCCCCATGTGGCCGTTTTTTGTCCTGTTGTTACTTGGGAGAAGAGACTGGTGCCTACCTCACTACAACCTCCTTTCAGGCAGTTGCAGAGAGAGAGAGATGAGGTCTCCCTGGAGCTCCGTTTCTCCAGGCTGGACAACCCCAGGTCCCTCAGGACTTGTGCTCCAGCTCATCATCATATGTACATTTTGGAAATATGCGTTCCATAAAAGCCATTGACAGAATTGGTGCCTACTTTTTCAAGCTAGGCTTCTTCTTTAAGAGGGTCTCTGAAACTTAAGGCATTCTAAGTGAAATTTCTCGCTAAAGTTGATGTCTTCATTTGTACCAGACAGCCCTTAAGATACCAGATTTATTAGTTGTATTGTTTTGAGAATGCACTGAAGAGAATTTCAGCCAGTGCTGTGTAGATAACACTGAAATGTTAAGTCTTCTGCCGTAGTGCTGATATACTGAGGAAAGAATTTGTGCTAAAGAGAAAAGTTATTTATTGGTTTTAATTAAATAGCACATAATCTTGTCAAACACATTTCTGTTGAGTAATGAATTTCACAAAAGTAATTTAGGAAAAGTATCTTGCACAGAACCTATGGCTCCTTAACATTCTGTCACATATACATTATAAAAATTGCAAGCTACTGCAGCATGAATCTTTGTGTCTGATTCACAACTTTACATTACACTTCATCTTCCAGAAATACTGCTCTGATGCTGTTACTTATGCAGTATATTTCCCACTCCGCCTGATAATCATGGAAGGGACTTATCCTGTTTTCAAGATTGTTGTCTGCTCCTCTCTTCTGCATGCACTAGAGCAAAATTAGTTGGAATAGTTGGGTGATCTTGCAGATACAAAGAAACCCTGAAACTTTCATCCATTATGATAATAAGGGGGACATTTATTACCACGTGATCTTTTCAGCTGTCTCAGCAGGACAGAATATATTAGAGAAAAAATGTTTTCTTGTATATGTGCCATTTTGTTATTTAAAGAGATGCCATAATTCTGAAATAAGTGCATTTGTTGTCATTAATTTTACAAACACTGAAGCAGAGTGAGAGTATCCTATGAAGTTGTCCTCTCCATTTTGGTAAGTGGATGTAAGTGGAATGTGAGGGAAAAGCTCTACTGCTCACAGTCTCTTCTAAGTTAGACGTCTGGTTAGTGAAACCCCATTTCCAATAGGAGCTGAAGGAGGATTTTCTTCAAGGGCTGGCTGACATGGAGCAGGTGTGTGCACATGAAGGACATTCATTGATATGGAGTTTATGGCAAAAAAGTAAATTTTCAGGATTGTTGTATTCTCTCTGAATCAGTCTTACTGATTTTGGTTCAAGATCTGTATGTATTTGTGAATATATGCAGATGAGTTCTGACTTTACTCTCTTTATTACAGATGATGAACCAGAACCCACTGATGGAAAAATTATGTTCAGGAAACCAGCCAAACGTTCATCAGAGAAGTGTTTGGACTTCAATGTAAGTTCAAGTAAGAAGATGAAAGAAGCAAATAAAACTAAGAGGGAAGCAACTACTTCTCAGAGTACAGCTAAGCAAGTGAAAAACAGCAGTCTTCTCTCATTTGATGATGAGGAAAATGATGATTAGGGGTTGTATTTTTTTATGCTTTACTTGCCCATCTAGAGACTAACATTGAGGGCCTTCACAGGAATTGAATTATGGTGTGAGTCTTCTCTTACTTTGTTGTAGTCCAACTAGAGAAATATTGTTTAATATTAGCATGAGCTAAGTCTGTGCAGTTGGTTGCAGCTGTATGTCATGTCTTAATTTTAAGATAATTTAACCATGTATGTAAAAGCTATTTGAGGTCACAAATGAGTAGCAAATTATACCTGTATATATTCAGCTTACAAATTTTCAACCAATTTTAAAATGCCCTCCATTACTAAAATGTATTTTGTCTATATTGAATAGCCTTAGTTGACAATTGTGTGGTTTTTACCTGTTATAATTGACATTCAAAAGAGACACTTCATTGCTGTGAAACAGACTGAAGTTTTCTGTCTCACAGCTTAACAAAAGTTAGCACAACCTTCGCATTTGTGATTTGCAAGATTAGCTGTTGCAGAGCCTTGCGATAAATTTGCTAAAGGCTAGAGGCTGCATTTGCAAAATTCATGTAGTCTTGATCCCGTCTTTGGTGAATGTAGTCTAAGAAACATCAAATTCATTTGAATTGGTTGTAATAGCAAGATATAGAGATTTTGATAATGGTATCAACTAATGCAAAATAAGCCTAAATCATTGGAGATTGTGCGTTTTGTTTTTGACACTGATGGACTCAGTGGTTTGATGGTGTTTTGGGTTTTTTTTAAAAGTATGTTTGTTCCAGTTAACAACTTACATGTTCGTAATTATTTGGGATCTCAGCTTTAAAAACTGTATTTAATCTTTAAGCTGTGGAAAAGCATTCATTTAGTATTCTTCAAGTAGGGGGGAAGTTGTAAACAGGAAATTTAAGCCAAGAAACACTATAGCTATGTCTTGGTTTAAGACAGTTTCCAGGGCAGATGCTCCAAAATTAATTACTGCCCCTTTTAGTTTTAATTGCTTCGCTTTCACCGATGAGCAGAGATGAAAGAACATGTAAGTGAAAAAAGAAAAGTTTACTAAAAAATGAAGCAGCAACAGGCAGGATAACAGTAATCGTCACTAGATACAAAGTGAATCCCATGGACTGCTTGGGAACAAAGAAAACACGATGGCAGAGAAACTCCTCCCCAGAAATGTTAGCCTCCATAGAAGACCACGTGGTTCAGGGGACAAAGATAAGCTGGTGGAGAAGCCCCTTCTCCTAACCAGGTGTTGATTAGGGAGAAAAAAAACACCACAGCATCTGAAACTCTGTGATTATGAAAGTCCCTCTTCTTCAAACACAACCAGCAAGGAACAAGGACAAAACAAAAAGAAACCTGGACTCCAAAACCAGTCAAATGCTGCTGATCCGTTTACTCCACATCACCAGATGGGGTCTCTCTCCCAGCAGCAGCAGCTCCGTCAACAGTGGTGGCTGGAACTCATGGAGGAACTTGGCCTCCTCCTCAGCAGAAGATGACAGGCAGATGCCTGGGGCAGCCCAGGCTTCTCACCTTCCCACTGCATCTGAGCGTTGCTGGGGAGCTGGAGTGACTGTATGGAGCAGGAGCTGTTCCGTTTTTCCCACTGTGGTGCCATGGCTGGCCATCCCGGGTGACAGCAATGAAAAAGGAAGGAAAAAAGGTCAGAAAAGAAGGTCTGCCCTGGTTCAGACCAAAACCAAAGGGGAGCTTCTGCCTTCCACTGCCTCAGCTTCTCAGTAGCTAGTGGGAACAACAAAAGAGAGGTCTGTGTGAGTGTTGTCCTAATTTTAAAGGGATCCTGGCATTTTCTGCCTCCATGAACCTGGGGCAAGACCCTCTGGTTCTGCTTCTGACCCCCAGGTCTTAAAGGGAAAGTAAAAATCTTGTCCAGATGGGGGTAGAAAGAAAGTGTCCATTTCAACATCTTTTCTGTAACAGGACAGAAATGACACTGAGAGCTGATGGGATTTTAGAGAACAAAGTGGTAGGAATGTGACTTGTGACTTTGAAATTCTTTGGGTGTATGGTGTATTCTGTAACCATGTGAAACCAGTTCTGCTGTGTGACAGGACATTTGAAATTATTTGGCCTGTAAAGCTTCATCAAGGAGCAAATTTCAAGTTGCTGTGTGAAACAGCTTGTTTTAGTTTATTCATCTGGTAGTAAACAATAAATTTAAGTTTTAAATTTTAAGTTTTCTTTTAAGTGGTTCAAAGATATTTTAATGAAAATTTCAGTACAAGAATGGGATTTTTTTTCCTTCTGGTATTGGAGCCTTCTGTACTTCCCTGTCTCCCTACACACCAGCTTCCTGCAGCATAACATCAGATGCAAGTCTGCACACTGTTTTGCACTGTGTGTGGGAGTATGTTACCCTGATTTTGAAAATTAATAGATCTGTTGTCCTTTCAGAAAATTGAAACCAGACCTAGAAATGGATATTAAAGTCTTGTTGCACTGGTCTTGTATTAGAATTGTGAGAGAGGTGCTATGTGACAACCTCATTATTCCCATGAGGACATGCTACATTTGTAAATACATAATTGGTCTGTATTCTCTACATATAAAAGAAGAAGAAATTTAAAGAAAAAGTACAAAACCAAAGGTTCCCAGGAATTAGTATATCCATTTATTTTGTATTGTTGTTTGAATCCATTAAAAAATATATACCAATACATACATACACACCCATGAGTAATCTTGTAGCATTCCAGCATACAAAGGGAATATTTGGGCATATGTCAACAATGGAGTAAATACTCTGACTTACTGAGACTCATCTGAAAGAATGAATTAACCATTGGCTGTTTACTTCAACTTTTCTGATTCTGTTTGTCAGTACAGTAATAAATTTGCATACATTTTTCTTGCACAACCTGGAAGCTCATAACTTGAGCTGTGAGGCAATTTAGGAGACATGGCCATTGAGATAAATGCTTGCCAAGGACCAGAGGGTATTTGATTTTACCATAAAATTAGAGAATTCCTCACAACTATATGCAGTTGATCTGGCCTGTTCAAAATAAGATTGAGATCTTGTTTAGTTATAGATAGTAATTGCATTTAAACAAAAGTTACCATTTTTAGTGAAAGACTTGGGAGATTGAAGTCCAGTAAAGGGAGGGTTACCTTAAAGTTTTGAGTGTAGTACTTTTACTTATTGAGTGTGGTACTTTTGGTTAATCATGCTTCTTACTCTACAACCTCATGACAGATGTCTGGAATGCAAATAATTGGATTGAATTTACTTGGAAATAATAAAAGGTATGTTGTTGTTTAGGCAACACAGCAGGGGAAAGAGAGGTGGATATGGAACCCAGTCTCTTTCCTTTATTCTGTCTGACTTGTAGTGCTCTGACCAGGAGACCTTTGTATTCATTGTATTTCACTACCAGTTCACCCAACAATAACTAATTGAATCAATTTATTAAGAGGTGTGAGTGATGCACAAAAGCATTTTAATCAGGTAGTCATGTGAAAATTCAGTGTTTTTACCATGACACACCAGGAAAATCTCACACACACAATCAACTCCCATGAAACCTGTGGTTAAAGAGAGCAATTACTTGTTCACTTAGGAAAGAAATGTGAAACTCTTAAGCAATCACCTGTCCTAATGGGCCATGGGAAAATAATATTCACAACTTTCTTATAAAGGGGAAGCAAAAAAACTAAGTACATAGAACATGAGGCTAAGGAACATGAGGAAAGGACAATTTTCCTGGGTTTTCTTTTGCTCTTGCTCTTGCTTGCCCCCATTCCCTGTCCTTTTCCTCTCCTGTAGGGGAGAATGTATATGTCTTTATTTTTCTCATGGAGTTTGCCAAGTTAAATGTGAGAGCAGTGCTGGAGGAATAAGGTGAGAGTAGCTGAGGCTTATTACCCAACAGAGAAATCTTGGTCAGATGAGGCCAGTTACCTCATATGGGAATCTTGTACTGTTTCTGTTAATAAAATACTTGAAATTTCCCAGTTCATTAAGACTAAAACATGTATTGTTTGTATTAGCTGAGCAGTGAGATGCAACAAATCTGGTGAACTGTAGTAGCATTGCAGCAGCAGATGCTTATAATGGAGGCTTTTTACACTGCAAATGTGCTTGGATGTCAGTAGGAGAGGTGAGATGCTCTGTCACCTTAATTTTTCTAAATGGTAGGAATCAAGGTGAATAATCAAGAATGCAACATTCTTGATAGATAGAATAAACAAGAAAATGCACGTGTGGGCAGGTGGCCCAGGAGTTCATACCTTTGCTTGTATTTCTGAAATAAAAGCAAATTTGTTGTACTGAAAAAGTTCATCTCATTGGCCTAAAGAGGAAGGGATGAGTCAATATTATATTCTGATAGCTTTTTTTTTGTCCAGAACTTTTCCTAGAAATATCATTTGGAGGAGCAAAGGCTGTGTTTTGCAGACACTGAGCACAAGAAGCCTGTATTTAGCAGTTTTAATTACACATTTTTAAGTTTCATCACAGGATTTAATGTTCTTTTTTACAGTGCTTCAGTATATAATCCTGTTAGGAAGCTGCAGATTTAAAATGAAGCAGGAAGCAGCAATGTCATCGTTTCAGCTGATTGTTTCCCTTATGCTGTAGTGTATTAACTAAGTAATGCTTCACTTGGCTGTGCAGAGCCAGCTGCCTTCTCAAGGACATCAGGCTTGCTTGGAGATGAGTCATTACCTTTTGTGCAGCACACGAAGTATGATGTGCAGCCTCAGCAAGTGTTTGTCCATTGAGGTTGGTTATAACCTATAGGCCTACACTGTGGCAAGATGCCATAAATCAGTCCTTTGTGCATTCAGCAAACAGAAAGGCTGGTGTATCAGCTGCCTCTTCACTATCATCCCTTTATTCCCATTCCTAGAACAAGGTACTGATTTGCAAAGACATTTTTCATGTTGTAGATCTTCTGCCCCACTTCTTTGAGAGCATTTCACATGCAGCAGGCACAAAGATAGCCACTAAAACCAGGGGAGACACACCATAGGTTATATGTGACTGCAGGCTCCTATAGACTTCCTCAAGATACTGAGAACCTATGAAATCTCAGAGGCAGCCTCTGGGAAGTAACTTCCTCCTGGGGAAAATGAATGGAACCAGCTAGGAAAATGACACAAGATTGAATTTTACTCTTATTTACCTCACTGTTAGTGTATTTTCTGTTGAAGGTAAAGGAACAGCTGGTAAAGCAGTTTTTTCCCTCTTATCAGAAGTGGCTTTGGTGCCATTCCAATCCATATGGCAAAGGATTCCTTTACCTTGACTCTAGTGGCAGTCCTCAGTGCCATGCCTGATTAGTTAAGGCCGTGGGCAAGTGGGAGCTACCTTGTAAGAGGCAGAAGTTATTAGAGGAAGGTGTTGTCAAACCTCTGTAGGATAACGGTGATCACTGCACACTTTTAGTTTTGATAACATGAAAGAGTTGTTCCCTTAGGGACGGCACACTAACAACGAACTTTAAAAGGGCAGATTATAAAACTATGAGGAAAATGGTTAACAGCAGGCTGAAGGGCAAAGAGAAGTACTTAAAAACCATAGAGATCTGCCTGGAGGCTATTTAAGAACATTGTATTAGAGGCACAGATGGTTTGTATACCTCTGAGCAAAAACAGCCTATGAGGAAGGATGAAACTCACAGGGTTATGTGGGAGAAAAGTGTGAGTATAGAAAGGTTGAAATGCATCCCTTAAAGATGATGTCTGTCTGAATGACAGACGAGGGAATGTTAGGAGGAGAGTGGAGGGAACTGGAAAGTTAGTGTGAAGGAAAAGACTATAGCAGCTGCTGACTCTGGACCCCCAGGATGAAACACTGAAAAGAGTGAGTCTAATAAAGTCCAGACCACTCTGCCTCTGAAGACTGGGCTACTCCACATGAGACTTAACCAGAAAAAGCAGCATACTGAGTCAGCTAGCACGAGCCAAAATCTTATTAAGGCAGTCTACATTTTTAATATGTTACCAGGCAAATTTAAGAATAAAGGAGTAGATTCGATCACAGTTACTCTATGCTAGGACTTTATTTTGACCTTGTGTTTTATACAGTTCCAAAAATGCTTTCAATCTTTGCTGAAGAAGGTAAGAGATTAAAAAAAAAAAAAGAAATTAAACAGTCCTAAAAACTCTGATTTTAGTAGGAGAAAAAACCCTAGTAAAAGAAAAAACCCAACCTGTTCTCACACAGCTTTGGGCTGAGAGAGTCTATCTGATAGGGATGAAGTGAGGTTTGCACAGCATTTTTACACTGGTGTGTAATTGGGCAGATGTGAAATTTTATTGCCATATATCAGAACAAGAACACACTGATTATAAATTAGGCAGGGAACATCTCAAGTATCACAAACCTGATGATGTGTGCAAAAAGAGTCCCTGTGAAATCAATGAAAGCTATTTTCTGGTTTTAAACCAAGGAAAGGCAGGGGAAGGTTAGAACAACTTACTTTTGCAATAAAACCTTCATGCACACGGTCTCCCTGGAACTAGAGGCCTGGCATCTAGGCTGTTTTATTCTGCCTTGTTAAATTGAAACAAACAATTCAGCTGCCCGAGTCCCTTCTTTTCTCCTCTGACATGCCAACTATCTTGAGAGAAGAGATTAAGCATTGTTCTGATGAGTGCTGCAGCAGCAGCAGCTTTATAATTTAAGGGCTACATAAAATTTATGGAGCATTGAGAAGAGCTTAAATCAATTTTGTGATTTTCATAAATTATTTCAGGTAGATGATCTTCGTGCAAAAAGCCAGTGATGTTTGAGCTATTTATCCAATGGACAACAACATTGAAAATGGGGATTTTCAAAGGCACCTGTGGGAATTATGTATCTGAGTTTGATGGGAGTTAGAAGACTTGTTCCTTTGAGCTACTTAGTTTTCCAGTGTAAATTTTTAATCATTCCAAATTGCTTAAAATACTTGGTAAAAATCAAAATTAGAGGAGGGTTAAATTTAGAGCAGTTTTGAAATTTCATTTAAATGCTGCATGTGCTTATAAATAGGGGATGGATAGCCTGTAATTCTACTTCAAGTGACAAACCAGTCTGGCACTTGTAGAGTTAAGCCTTTTCTTAAGACAGTGTATTTTTGGGTTGTTGTTTAGGTCCCATTCACTGAGGATCCTGGTTCTGTCTTCTTCACACTGTATTTGCAAATTACTCCATCTGTTAAAGAGTAGGATCTGCCTGTACAGCAGAAAGAGAAACTAGCTGGTTTCTTATAGCATATTTCAAGATTATATAACAGGACAAATATAATTCCGTACATTACAGAAAGGAATAGAGACTGAACTTCCCTTCTGGACAAGTAACTAAAGAGCTGATAGGATGCAATTCCCATTTTGTCTTAATTTTGGGTGTTACTGGGTGTGATTGAAAGAGCTTTCATCTCCCTGGGCATTATGGTCATCAGGATACAGGTAGGTTGGAGACCTTTCATCTAACTGGCACACCTTTGAGCTATAATTTTCATGTATTATTTTCTGTATTTTAAACTGCTCCAACTCCTCTAAACTGACATCATTGTGCTTCAGATTATTTCACACTGAATATACTAAACATGGTAATAATAGGAGGAACCACTGCTGAATTCCTCTAAACTGGATAGGCAACTTGGAATAAATTATTTACTGATATTACTGCATTGCTTTAAGTGAAATGACACTGATAGGTACTGAGCTCCTTACTAAACCTGAACAAGGTAGTCTGAGGTGAGTGGGTTTAAATTCAAAGTAAGTTAAGTGTGGGACACTTCAGGATCTTGCCACTGAATTTCTACAGCCAACATTATACATAAATAATGGGAGCTTCTTACTCAATGGTCATTATTCTGCAGGAGAGGATTTGTGACTGCTGTGAATTAAACACTGAACACAGTCCATGGTGTGAGGAAAGCTAATGCAGTTTCAGCTCTAAAAATTAATGTGTCATGGAGAACTGAGAAATAATCTTACCCAATTATTCTCTGCTTCAGACCTTAGCTGGAGTGATGTGTTTACTTTTGTGCACTATATTTCAAAAAATAAAGATACAGTCCAATTGGAAATTCCAACAGAAAGTAGTGGTACTGATCAGGAGTCTAGAAAGCGTGAACTGTAAGACTGAAAGAAGTGGGTAGTGCAACTAGAGAAAGGAGATGCAGGGAAAGGAATAGGAATGTGATATCAGTGTTCAGACATATAAAGCTTGCTGAAAAGAGGGAAGTTGCAAATTGTTCTCTGTGTCCTCTGGGAATACAAAAAGAATGAAAGGATTTAAATTGTAGCCAAGGAGATTTAAGGAAGACATTAGGACAGGCTTTCCATCTGTAAAAGTAGTGAAATATTGAAACAGATTGCCTGGGGAGGTTGTGGGATCTTCATTGCCAGACATTTTTAAGAACAGGTTAGACAAACTTCTGTCAGGAATGATTTGGGTATAATTGATCCTGCCTTAGGGCAGAGGGCCGGACTAGATGACCTTGCAAGGTCCCTTCCAGCTCTACTTTCGGTGGTTCTCTTATTAGAAAGGCTGATGTCATATTCTTAGGACCTCACCATTCCTTTCAAAAGCAAAAACATGCTATAGTGATGGCAAGAGTCAGATTTAAACTGACAGTATCTGGGAAAAGGTATCAGCTAAAGGTTGATATCCCACCTTTAATTACTAACACTTGAATGTACGTAATACAGATGGACTTGTTCAACAGCTAAATACTTGTGGGTTACAGTACTGTGAGATTTTGTGACCAGACTATGATCTTTTTAATGGCATGAGAATTTAATCTTATATATTGCAACTTCCTTTCAGCCACTTGAGTAAGTAGCAGGCAGTGCTACTCTGCATCTCATAAGTTTCAGGTGGGTCACTCTCATTCCACATGCCATGACACATTTGGCCAGTTGCTATGTACTCACTCACTCACTCACTCACTCACTCACTCACTCACTCTGAAACTCATTCCTCTGTTCCAATTTATCATGATGCTGATGCTCAGCTTCATTATGTGGCTGTGTTTAAATAAATGCCACTGCTAATGTGCTTGCTATCCTTCTTTCCATCCTCAGACACTGGATATCCCTCCTACTGCTTTCTGCTCACATGTTCTTTATTCCTGTTGATAAATTTCATTTTCATCTCTTTTGCTGCTTTCCCTTCAAGGTGTGCTTGCATTACAAACTGCAGTTCAGCAGTTTAGCAGTTGGATTGCATCCAAATATTACCAAATGCCACATCTTTTAATATCAGGCAGAGCAGCTTGAATTTTCTTCCTTGGAGTGCTGTAAAAGACACACTGACATGTTTTCTGTGCAAATGCCAAAAAGAAAAAAAAAATGCTTAACAAAAGATGGAGGGGTGTGAAGCAAGCTGAAAAGTCTGCATTCCCAGGATTTTCTATTTTCCCTGATTTCTGGATTTAGTTCATGACCCAGCTGCTGATCTCTGAAACTATGGAACCATGCCAGTTTCTAGCAGCCAAGAATTTGTTGCTGTCACATTTGTGACTTGGTAGCACCTTCCTGTTCAGCTAAATAACCATATGTGCTTTTATCCCCAAAGGCCATGCCTGGCCATTGATGATCACAGTATTGCCAAGCCCTTGTATTCTAGAAAATTAATTGTCAATGCATGAAGTAGTATTTACACGTGTGTGTGTGTGTGTGTATATGTATATATAGATATATATGTATGTATTTATGTATTTGAGTTTAAATTTGGCCTTTCAGCATTCAGGACTTTGGAGTTTTTCTCTACAGCTACATGGAAAATAAAAACTGAAGTAAAAATAAAACCAAAACCAGAATAAAGCTGGGCTTTTTGCACACTCACATAATGCTTTCAGAAGCTGAGACGTGAAAAAAATTTCAGCTTTTACCATGAAATCTAGTAGTGCTATAACTTGATATTTGGCCATTAAATTGTTTTACTGCATCCTTCAGGGAGAAAGATGCTATCAGTTATTTTTCCTAATGGTGAAATGCTTGTCAGAATGCTTTAGGACACTTGTTATTTTATGTATTTTTGCCATTTCCTTATTAGAGACATTAATATGCACTGTAGCTGTGGGTGCTGCATGTGATTTGTCCTAGAGGACTTCTCTTGATTGCCCTGGGCTTTGGATCAGAGTCCAAAGTAACTCTTTCTGTGTTTGTTCATCTCTTTTGCTCAAGACTTGTCCTTCATGTGTTTTGGAGGTAGGTGGACAAACAACATGGATACTCTGGTGCATCTAGGTCAGATGGCTATGTTCCTTGTCCCTGTTGTGCATTCTGTGTGTGTATTCTCCAGCTTCTGCTGTGGTTGTACATGGGGGGCGGGTGAAGTGCACCTTCAGGTCACTGCTCCAGATCCCATGTGCCCCCAGTTTCAACCTGAGGTGCACTGACTTGGCAAAGGCCAAGTCTGAGGGCAGATTATCCCCACATCACTTGCTTCTAACTTTGTGCTTTGCATTGCTCAACACACTCCTTTTCTCTTCCCTGGGGGTACTGTCTGTGTCAGTACTCTTTCTTGACCCTAAAATGCAGTTTCATTCATTTTCCCCACTAGATAATACTGAACTTGAAGGTAAATTTTGTTATTTAGACACAGCAACTGTGATAGTATCCTGCTTCTATCAGAGGCTTCCTGTACAACAGTGCTTCTTAATGTCTTATTTTTCCATATTGGCACTTTCTGGTGGCAATGTATTTGAATTGTGATTGCCCCAGTCTATTTTTTCATGTACCTGTTGGGCTGTTCATTCTAGTTCTTCTTACCTCCAACAGCCCCAGCACAGAGGCTAGCACATCTTCCAGCAAATCTGCCTTGCAAGGAGTGAAGGGGGCTGTTCACTGCACCTCCTGAGCAGCAGCAGTGTGAGTGAGCATTTGTAATGTGAGACTGCTTCTCAAACTCATCTGTCTAAGGTGTTTACATCCCACTGTACCTGTGCAAACCTCCTGTGTTGCCCTCTTTTCCCTCAACTTTAGGTTGCCACAGATAGAGTCCAATAATGCCTGTGAGTTGTACTCTATGAATTTCCCCAGCTCCTCCTCACTTTTAGAGAGTTCAGAGTCCACAACAGCTCCAACACCAGCTGAATTTGGAGTTTGAGTGAGTCAGAGACTTTTATGTGTGGATGCAAGCCTTTTTAAGGCACCTTTCAGTGCTTAAGAGCCCATGTAGGTTCTAATAAATAAATGCTTTTGTCTCAGGTGTTGACTTTAGTGCAGTCTTTCAGTACCACATGCACAAATACATACCCATGAATCTTGTTGAACTGTGAGGTTTAGAAAGCCATTTTCTTTGTCTTGCATCACAAATTTATATGGCACATACCCTAGTGGAGCCCTAATCTGAGCCACAGACTCTGGGGTGCTACTTTAGTACAAAAATATAGTAATTTGTAAATGAATCAGGGAGATTTTAAAATCAATTTTCTTCAGCAAACGGTGATTATTGAAATGGTTGCAGTTATCGCTGAGGACTGAATGCATAAAGTGCTTCAAGATCGAGAATTGGATTCTCTAAACATATAATTCTTTTATCAATAATTCTTACGAGCAGTCTTCTTTCTACCCTTTCCCTTTTGCCAAAACTCTCCCATCTATTATCTACTGAGCTCATTTGCCTCCTGGATAGCTGTGGATTTGTTGGTATACACATTTTTTTATTGACTAGAATGAACATTTGGAGAATAAGAATGCCATTGGTATTCACACCTAAAGGTAATCAATACTAGTACAGAGGAATAAATATTTTCTAACCAACTAAGCATCCTCTCTAGTCTTACTTTGTTTTTCTAAACCCCAAAGGTCTGTATCCTGTGAACAAAGCGGTGAGGGGCAATAGCATTTACATCTTGTTACTAGAGGGGGATTGAGAGAGAAGCTTGTCTCCTGGCCATGGCTGTTCCCATACTCCAGCTCATCAGTCACTCACTCATAAACATCCTCTACTGTTTGACTGCAGCCTATCTACTCTTTGACTGCAATGGTGATAATTATTTGTCTGTCATCAATTTATTACCTCCAACAGAGAAGAAAGAAAAATCTTCTTGAAGAGCCTTGATGTCTCCTTGGGAATGGCAGAAAATAGCCTGCAACTACAGTGTTTGAGGGAGCATGTGATGGGACATTGCAGTGATGTGGTGTTACTTGCTTCCGCCTGAGGTCTGTTCTGCGGAACGGGTATTACAAGTATGTAAAAAGCAAAGAAAAGGGGAAAGCACAGCAAAACGTGGTGGAGTCTGCCCTGTTCCCGGCCTATTCCACTGTCCAGTTGCAGATGCTAATGACCAGTCGTTGGTGTCATTTGGGGTTTTTCAGGTTTTCCTTGCCCAGAGACACTCAGGAGATTTGCTCTCGCTTGTAGCCAGATTCTGCCTTCATTTAAGCCTGAAATGAGCCAGCGGCGAGCAGAGCGTCGGGATTTCTCAAAGCCTTCCCGCGGGTTCGCCAAGGCCGCGCCTCCCCAGGCGCGGCAGGAGGCAGCGCAGCGCGGCTGCCGCTCGGCCGGGCCGGGCCGGGCCGGGCCGGGCCGGGCCGCTCGGTCCCGGCGCTGCCGCCGGCGGGCAGCAGGTGGCGGCCGCGCCTCAGGCTCGGCAGCGGGGCCGGGCCGGTCCCGCGGGGCTGTGCCGGCGCCGGCGGCGCTCGGCGGCGCTGCCCGCCCGCGGCACCGCGCCCGCCGCACCGCCCGGGCCTGTCCTGGGCCGCACTGCCCTTCCCTTCCCTTCCCTTCCCTTCCCTTCCCTTCCCTTCCCTTCCCTTCCCTTCCCTTCCCTTCCCTTCCCTTCCCTCCCTGCCAGTGCACGGCGTGAGTGTTTCTCTATTTCCCCGTCTTCCCTTTTTCTCCTTCCCTCTGTCTCCTGCATATCTAGGGTAACACCTACTGCTTGGATTTGTGTTTGATTTGGGATGAGTGAGCAGCAAAGTGCTGCAAGGGGCAGGTTAGAGCAATGCTTTCCTCTGGTGAAAAAGTGGTGTTCTTCGGTTCCCAAAATCACAGCAGCACAGAACACTCTGAGTTGGAAGGATCATCAGGTCCGACTGCTGGCACTGCATAGGACACCCCGAGAATCACACCATGTGCCCAAGAGCATTGTCCAAACATCTCCTGAACTCTGCCTGGTTTGGTGCTGTGACCACTTCCCTGGGGAGCTTGTTCCAGCCCCCAACCACTGTCTGAATGAAGAGCCTTTTTCTAATATCCGATCTAAACCTCTCCTGACAATTCAGGCCATTCCCTTAGTTTTTGTCGCAGGTTGGCAGCAGTGGCAGCTTGTTGAGGGCTGCACTGTGGGGGCACCTGCTGCGCTCCCAGTTCCCACTGTTCTACCTCTGTTGGCTCTTGCTGTGCACGGTACCACCATGGCTTGGTGCCATTAGGAGCTGGAGCCCAGGGTGTCAGGTCCTCAAGGCTGGCGAGCTCCAGGGTGAGGATGAGGATGGGGATGAGGCACACCAGGGCTTGCACACTGCTCTGGCCACTGACCACCACAACCCAGGATTAGTGACCTAACTGATGGGTAAGGCAAAGTCAGGCCCACCGTGTTGGTTAGGGATAGGTGGGAGATTAACTGCAAAGAGTATGGGAGACTGTCTGTGGAGCACCCAGTAAAAGGACCAAAAATGGAGCTTAGCAAGACATTTAAAATTCAGTGAAGAAAAGCCATAGTGGAAAAGAGACTCCTTTCTGATGTAGGGTCATGGTAATAGGCTGTATCTTGCAATTATTACACACACAGTTGGAAACTTAGTTAAGTGAAAAGTCTCCACTGGCTTCAGCAGGAGCGTCTGTAACAGCCTCATGGGTGGGAGGGGGCCATAGCAGAATTCTGTGTGCTACTGTTGAAACTTAAGTATCATCAATATCTGAATCTTGCACGTTCTCTTTGATTTGGCTGGCTCTGTTTGCAGTTCCTTGACCTATTATCTGTACACATTATTTATCTCCTGGCACAGATGTGCCCAGAATTTTATTAAGTACAACATTTGTATTAAGTACAACAAACTGTAGTTGAATATTTAGGCTGAAATGCAATTGGCAATGCAAAAGCAGTGGCCCTAGCAAGGTGTGATTTCTAATAGCAAGGTGTGATTTCTAATATGCTATAAAGTGTGGAAGATTTCAGGTAAATTAATCAATATTTGTGGAATTGAAGAGTAAAATTTCCCACTATTGGACCTGGATTTTTAATCATTAGACCATATATACTTACTGAGCCTGGATGCATAGGTCCTGTCTTAAAAAGGCGGTATGTGCTGGAGACATAAAGTCCTCCTGGAGACATAAAGTCACGATGGAGATATAAAATCATTCTGGAGGTGATAAGATTTTCTGATGTCTCTGAATCTGACCTCTTACGGGACTAGGATCCATGCACACATCAGGTGATGAAACTTGCACGTGATATGGATCAGCTCATTTAAATGAATCTGCCATTTGTGGCTGCCTGACTACTCACAGCTTCTTTTGAGTGTCAGTCCAGTCCTTTTTGAAATTAGAACAGTAAGATAGCTGTCCTTAGCAAAATATGATGAAACCTGCCAATGAGCATTTTCACATGCTATTGTCTCTTTGTTTTGTAATTGTATTTTTAAATAGAAGCAGGCAGATACTGAGATTTTGAGATTAACATTTAGGAATGTAGGTATAGGTGGAAAGCCAGTCCTATGTCCACAGGGTCCACCTTTTTTTTCTTAAAATATCAATCCCATAACCTTGAATGCTTTTTGGAGAGATCTGTAGACTTAACTGAATGAAAGCAAGGGATGAACATGCCATTTTGTTTCTCAAGCAAAAAAATACATCTGTATTATTAAACATGGATGTCTGAAGTTAAGCA